TCAGATGGTATGCAGGGCAGCTATGATAACAGTGGTTGGTATGGTAATAGCAGCCTGTGCGCCACAGGCTAGCTGCTAGTGGTTAGTTCCTGGCTCTCAGTGATGTTGCATAGTGCTTCTTTAACTTCAGATTGATGAGCATGCTGCGGACCCCCTCCCCCCTCTGCTTTTTTCTGCGCCAACTCAGAATACACTGTACTCTCACCTCCTGTCCTTGCACAAGTTAGAAGACTGTGTGTTCACGACTTAGGAAGATACAGTGCTGCTGCAGCTCAAAGACAAGGTGTGCTTACGGCAGAAACAGACCCCACTGAATTAGCGTGGGAAGGGGTTGCTGTGGGGGCTGCAGCCTCCACTGCTGGCCAGAGTAAAACACAGTGGAAATATAATTTTACCTTTTTAAATAATACAAAAAAAAAAACATTGAACAGTTTCCTTTCAAGTGCTTGGAATGCAATATCTTTGTTGTTTAAGTGCAAAATGATTTCGCACGCCAAAGCAAACCCCTTAAGTAGCAAATAAGCAGAAAAACATGTTGGATTCACAGAATAACACAGCACAAGTAAGCACAGAGGTTCTCTTGTTGGAAGGAGACCCATTTCAGTCTCTCAAAGAGCCTTATCTTCAAAGTCAAGTTGCTTTGCTTCGGCACTTTGAAGGTAAGAGTTTTACACTCCTCGTGGTGAGCAAAGGGACTTGTGTTTTGTCTTGTTTAGATGTTACACCATGAGGCTTCTGGAAGATAAAGTTGGTGGCATCTCTGTGAAAACATTTTCATGAAAGGGAAATATTCATACAGGCGTGGGTGCTGGTGCAGTAAAATGTTATGTTGATGTTTCTCTCTAGGTGCTTGAGAACGTAGGATTAAAGCAATAAGTCGTCTGATCACTGAACATCTTTAATTAATATGATCTCTATTTCCTAAAATATCTGGGATGTTATTTTTCAGCTGATTGTAAAAGACAACAAGTTGGTGATTATGTGCACACTAACCATCGACTGGGACCCCAGTTAAAGAGAATAGCCTACAAATGTACTTTATTAACTTCTGGGATGAAAACCAGGTGGAAACTAGAAACATTCCTTCTGCATCCCAGACGAACCTGCTTGTATTAGGAACTGCCATGATTGTACACTAAATTGTGTCTCTGACACTGTTCCACATTCCATTCCTGAGAGAAAAACCTTTCATCTTCTTCCTTATCCAGATTATTCTGCAAAGCCATTATATCAACTAGTGCGTGTTATCTGTTTTACTGTAAATCATTCAGACATGGTCCTTCCTGTTTGGCTTTGGATTAAAACTAATGAAGGAGGAGGCAGATACCGCAAAGACAATTAATGTGGCGGGTCAGGACCCAATGCTCGAATGAACTTAGTGCAGAAATGCAATGTAATAATTTACTACCTTTATTTATTCAATGAAACCTGACAGAAGACACATGCTGGTTTCTTTCACCTCCCTGAAACATATTCACACACCCTTTAACCCCAACTCCTGGACCAATGCAACAACTACCTCTACATCTGGCGGGATTTAAATGCATCTCAAAAGTATCTCCACTGCCCTTGGTCCCAAAATTTTAACCAGTTATATTAACTAGCCATTTTCATCGAAGCCCAATACAACCACTACCTAGACGATGTAAAGGAGTTAATAATAATACCAATAAAATGCTCTGTAATACAGCAGAATCAAATAAAAGCTCAGATATATGCACATTACTATTTTAACAGAGATCTAAAAGCATGGGGTTGTAATATTTATAGCCTGTTTTATGTTCATTTCAGGCCCATAAAGCTGATGTGGTACAACAACGGTTCATAACAACAGAATAGCTCCAAGTATCTGCGAGAGAAAGCATAACAGGCGTATGTCTTCACTCAGTGAAAGGTGAACAAACAAGAACCAAGTATGCACACATTGACAGAGCACACACCCATCAGATATTGGCTAGGGATGTCAAGAAAAAATAAAGTAGGTCAGTTTATATGTCTCGAGTGAGATGGGATTTCTGCCTCCAAAACAACCATTTATCTTGGGGGCCTCCATGTTAACACACTAACAAGAGGGCTACCATTCACTAGAAACCTGCTGAGGAGAAGACTGAACCAGAGAGGAGATATTATAAAGATAGAGATGAGAATGTAAAATGTCTAAATTCTATAAAAGAGTAAAGAGAGGTTAGCAGATTATACAATAAGGGAGGGTATTTTTAATTGATTTTTGTTTATATTAGTTGGTGGTAAAGCTACACACATTCTTAAGTAGAAGTACTGATTAAACTTCTCTACTCAAGTAAAAGTGAAAAAGTACAGGCTGTGAAATGTATAAAAGTAAGTAAGTAAGCAAGAAACTTCAAATAGGGATGTGTCTCCCTCTCTCTCACCCTCTTGGCTTTTTTTGTCACGTTATCGTCGTTGTCTCTCATATGCACATTGGGAAGGTGTGCAATCATGCAAAACATAATAATAATCCATAATTCCCCTAAATTGTATCAAAACTAAAGTAATGAGCCTGTTTTGAAATGTAAGTAGTAGAAAATATAGATATTTGTGTAAAAATGTTAAAAAGTTCTGTAGAATGTTGTCAGAAATATAAAGTAAAAGTACATACGGGTACATGAAAAACTAATTAACTACAGTAACTAAGTATTTGTACTTTGTTACTTCCCTCCTCTGGTCACTGTTTACTTTATAATAACCACCACCAGATGCTTAAATGACCCTTTGATTACCCCGAGATTAACAGAGTGAAGTTAACCCAGATTAAATTAATTTTACAAGCCAACTGGCTCGCTTTTTGGTGCTGGAGAAAAGAAATAAATTAAATCAAATTAATAGAAGGAAGTAAAAGAGTAGAGAAAAAGGAAATCTCAGTTCGTTAAATTCCACTGGGTGAAAAGTGGACAAGAAGAGAAAAGAGCCTGAATTACAATGATTTTACAAGCCAACCAGCCACTTTTGTGCTTTGTGTATGCACTGTAGGTGTATAGCTGTGGCCTTGGCAAGGCGCCCCCCATGAGGAAGGAAGGCTGCATAATACTGGAGGCCAGAGGTGAGACTTTCACAGCTCTGCACAATACATATTCAATACGTACAGGGCCCTGGCTGCACTATTGCAAGAGCTTAATTAAAAAGTAACAGTTCCAATACATTGGAGTCTGGCTGACCCACATCCCCTGCTGGCTCAGTATGCCTGTTAACGTTGTGGGTGTGTGGGTGTGTGTGTGTAGGTGTGTGTGCTGTGTTATGTGTGTGTTTGTGTAGTGGGATTTTGGGCAATTTGAAAATTAAAAATAAAAAACAGTTAAAGTCAGACCATTTAGGGGTGATACACCTTGGTGCCATTTAAACAGCTGTTACGAATTTTGAGTAAAAGAGAAATGTATGCCTGATGTTGCTTGTGTATGTGCACATGTGTGTGACTTTGAAGACATGAATTATTCACAATAACCCTAGGCAGTGGTATATAGCACGCTTCTGCCTTGTGTGCACACGTCATGCATGTGTATAGGTGTGTGTGTAAATGGAGAGTGTGTGAGAGAGTGCGGTTCAGCCATATGCTGTGGACCTAATCCACTATGACAAACCTCTGACATCACATGAACAACAGGCATGCTGAGCAAATCTACTCATTCATAATAAATGAGAGAGTGAGTGAGTGAGTGAGGAGAGAGAGAGAGAGAGAGAGAGAGAAGAGACGAGAGAGAGAGAGAGAGAGAGAGAGTCTCCGGGGAAAAAGAAATAAAAATACTAAAAAAAGGAATAAATAAGCCAAGCATCTCTATTCTTGGCAGCCAGCTTTTCACCTTGAAAAAAAGTCTGGGGTTCTTTTACTGCATGCCATTATACATGTGACCTCAACCAGCCAATCATAAGAAAGAATGACAATCTTTATAAAATAAAATATAAAATATATAAAAATTACTCACTAGGAACAGAAAAAAACATTATGTAAGAGTTAGAAACAATCTAGGTTTAGTGAAAAAGCAGTCCCTGACTTTGCCATTCAGACGAGAAAGAGGACATGATTAGATGTCATGTCTTTACATTTCCTGTACCCGAACACTGCAATCATACAGGAAATGCCATGAGTAATTTCAGAGTGAGTGATTATACCTTTAAGCATGAATAGCTATAACTTCCTGTGCTAAAAGGCAGCCGGTGACAACAATAAAAAAGGAAGACTAGAACATTTTATAAAATCAACACAGAGCCGTGCTGCAGTGCTAAAATATCATTCTTTTTTCCCCTGATGGTTCTGGTCGAGCCCCTATAAAAACTTAGTTATTTGACAAGGTTGATGAGTCCTGGCTTCATATTTTATTACTAGAGTGCTTCAGTTGGGCTGCAGTCCGTAGGCGGAGTAGGGCACTGAAATCCCATGGGTGGTTGGGGTTGGTGAGGGAGGTACTGTGTGAGTCCCTGGGAGTTTTTTTACTCACAGTCTGACTGCTGCTGGGTCATCCATTATTTAACACACTCACACACACACACACAAACACACCCACATGGCCTTACACAACTGTATATTTAAGTTCCTGCATTTTGGGATTCTAAAGTAGCCCTGATGCAAAACTCCATTACTTTTCCATAACAAACTTGGAATATGATATGAAAATGTTATTTCCTGGTTTGTTAAGGCGGATAATGTGGTTTACTCTGCTAAGGAAAGCCATCAGACTGTAATAAATGTGGGCAATAACTTGCAATAACTGAAAATGCATTCATATATATTCCTGTAAAATTGTGTATTTGTATTATTTTCGTCCAATTTCTGCAGAATTTCAAAACAAGAGACATCTGATTCTGGATCACTGTGAGAATCACAACAGCCTAGAAATTCAATGACCAGCAGGAACCCTTGTATACAAACACACACATAGTTTTTTTTTTTTCATTGCAACTGAAAACACCCAAAAAAACATCCTGCTCTCCATCAAGTTATAAATAATTCAGCCGACTTCGCTACAAAGTAAGAACAACCTGCTGCTCACCATTCATTCTGATCAGGCAGCTCGTGGATCCAGGGCACCGGGTTCTCTCCCACAAAGCCCATGTCATCGTGGGAACTGGAGGATGATTGGTCGGAAAGGTGGGCAGGAAGCAGGGGCGGCCTATCGTCTTCGATCATCACTGTGTCGTCCTGCGGCATGTTCACAGTTGGAGAGAGCTGGTAGTTACCTGACGGGGGGGGGGAAATTAGACAACATATAGGATTATTTGTAAGAGTTTTTTCACGTTTATATAACACAATGTGGCATTCGTACAGAAGTTTTTTTTAAACATCCAATTAGTGGTGTCTGATAAAAAGTGTGAAGGAATCAGATTAAGAAAATATGTGCACACACATACCTCCACAGACATGTTTGTGTAAACACAATAATTGTATCTTACTTCAGTAATTACCAAGATAAAACTGTATACAGAGATAACTTTGGCTGAGATAATTGTACTATTAAATTTTCACATCAGGACATGCCTGAAGGACACCAACATTTCTCAAAAAGGGTAAATAACGGTGCTTATCAGGTACAATTTTGCAGAGCTACATGCATACAAAGATGTTGCATGACAGGATGATATCCACTGAATGGTAGCAGGCTCAGAACATTCATGAAAATACACAAAAATGGACAGCATGGACACAAATGACAGTAAGCATCGAAACTCACAGGAGAAGACATAATCTACTCTCTTAATAGCACAGCCAAAAAGTTGTGGACCCGAGTAGTTTTATCCATTCTCCTTCACTCTTCTCCAAGGACAAATATGAGCAGAAGAAGAGCTCCCCTGATCTGTATTCTGTCCTGCCTGACCCTCCCTGCTGAGGACTTCTTTGAATCGCTCCTTTGCTGCTCCTCAGGAGTCAAAGTCAATGGGGAATGTGCTGCCGTGGCTGGCACTCAGCACCAAGGGCAGGAGACGGGTTGTTCAACGGCATGAGAAGTGGCATTACAATACTGATTCACTCTGCAAATTGATCACTGCATGACTTAAGAGTGGACACATAAAAAAGGGGGGAATCAAAGTCAAGACGAGTCACAAGGTCAGACTTCAACCACACACCTGCTTACTATTAGACAAAGGTTTACAGAAATGCTGGACTTCCTGGTCTTTGCTTTTGTTTCCATTATCGGAGAGCCGTTTTGCAAATTTAATAGCTTAGGAACAATTGGGTGTAATCACTAACAGCAGACAACAATATTTACCCTGGCAGGATCCCAACGTGAATCTGAGAGGCATTTAATTTCATTGGGGCCCGACGAATGATAAATGCATATTGTGGAAGTAAATCTGAGCACCAATCAACGCGGCAATGAGGTGTACAGTTTAGTTTAGGTATTTGCACAGAAAAAGAAAAACAAAGACAAGAAACAGCTGTGCAGGGGAGGACAGAACCAAGGTGGGCTTAGTAAGGTCCTCCCCAAAAAAGTCTAACAACAAACAGAAAATCAAGCAGATACAATGTATTTTCTAGATTTTTATCAGTGGCATGTGACATGAGAGATTTATTATACCTTATGTGAAAACATGTTCCAAACCAATACAGTGTTACAGTAGATACACTGAATAGTATCACCAAGATGCTAGTTTACTTTGCAATTACCATATTTTTTTAAGGTTTCATGACTGGTGTTTATTATTTTATCCCCATTAGGGCAAGTGGCTTCCGCATCTGTTAATTGATTCTTTAGGAAGCCTCAATTCTTTGTCTATGGACTGCTCATCTAAACCAGTTAAGATGGCTGCCAACACTGTACAGGTGAAATGAAGGCCATTTCTCACTTGGGCAGCTTGACAGAGAACCATGGATAATTGAATTCACTCTGTACCGTAAATCTGCAGTACTGGAGTAATGACAGTGAGAAACTCCAGGAAGTCAGTGAGACTAAGCTAGACCTATCACTTTTATAGCAGGCAGACCAAGTAGTGCAGACATTAATTATAGCTGTGTTCTTTAAATCATAACTAGTGATATCTGCTTTTGTTGTATGAAAATAATAATAAAAAAAAAGGTTCTGGTTTGACCTCCAATTTATCCAATGTAATGGAAGTAATTTTCCATGCTCCAACAGGGATTATGATGTAGTGTATAGCAACACTGGTAGAAGTTTGTCTAGTTATTGTGACAATGTCTTTAAAATGTTCCCAGCTTTAAGGAAAATAGATGATGGGGAAATCTGCACATGGGAAAAAAGACATTTACTTTGTTTCAATACTGTGTACATTTACAGAATCTATCTATATAATCTGTGTACTATATTGCTATGTGGGCCTTGCCCTCTATACAATAGTTTAGGTTTGTCCTCAGAGTCCTTGCACAACTCCTGTAAGTCATCTCTCAAACACTCTTCCTTCCAAAATCCAATACTTCCCTCCTCTGTTGTCAGTGTCTCTGTTTTACAGCCAGTTTAGCAAAAGTGCGGCAGTGTCAGTAAGAGATGCCCTGCGGTTGTTCATCCACAGGGGCCATCCTTATACGAGCCTTTACCTTCCGTTAGCTGTTAGGTAGAGTTACCGGTTGGTTGCATCAGCAGCACTGAGAATTTCACTACAGTAGTCACTTGGAAAAGATTTGGGAAATTTTGTCAGTTTACAGTAGTGTTAATATAACAGGAAATACTGTTTCCTCCAAAAAAAGCTCTGTAAAAGGTTAACACATGGACATGACATTTTTTAGGCATTCACAATATGCACTCTTCAAGACAATACATAACTCATAATCACCTTACATTCACTCATGCCAGCAGACCACTAGGACAGTTTTTAATTAGAAACTCGGCAAGCTTCCTTCTCCCAGCATTATGAAATATTTCAAGACAGGACCTCTTGACACAAGTGGCCAGCTCTGCAGATGAAGAGTTGTTAAAGTCATTCCACTTCCCTCTTTGCTAAGTAGCTAAAGGACATACATACTCATACAATAAATGGCTAGTGGACAGGTACAATTGGGGCCACGGTTTGAAAGGTGAAAATAATTAGAGAAACTGCAGTACTTGCTTTTCTGCAGCTGTCAGCACAATTAAGCATAAAGGGAAATCACCCACACAACCCTAATACTTGTTGTAGCATTATACAAGTTAGCTCTGAAAATGACTATACAGTACAGCTAAACTGGGACAATGAAGCAGACAAACTAAAACAGACTAAAAGAAGATGCCTTAAGAACATGTGTTCAATGCATGTTTAAAAAAAACTGGACTGAGAATAATTAAAAGCAAAAGGCAGAGTGGGAAACAGGCAAAATCTAAAGAGGAGGAAGAATTTTCAGCACCTTCAGTGGTGTTTTAACACAGTGAGGTGCAGATGGCTCTGCTCACTCAGTGTTTTAACACGGTTGTCTTTTACCAGCGCATCACAGTTGGTGACGAGGGGGAAAATGGGGCAGGTGACAATACCAGCAGAGACACTTCACTTCAGGAAGATGGACAGACAGTGTATACAGTATGTGTGTGTTCGAGCTAGAAGTAGCTGGTCAAGGCTGTTCATAATGGAGAGACGATTCTGAAGGCAAACAAGTGCTGATGAAATAACGAGTGAATGCATTCTCAGTGCTATGTTTGAAGTCTTCTTTTATGTGCCGTCTCCGTAGTTTACATCATCTCGCTTAGAGAAGGTCATCTGAGCTTATTGTTGTATTTAGGTTTTGCCTAATGCCACCACAGCAAAAATAACCACAATTATCTAAACCTGAGTACTGTGAATGCAATTACTGTTTTCACCAAACCCCAGAACAGCTATCTTGGCCAGAATCAAAACGCTGTTATTGAGCTTGTGATGACCTCGGCGATCCTGAAAACACTGGAGCCTTTCATGCACTCAGTTTGTGGAATGAAAGCTAAAGAAGAAAAAAAAAAACATTAATATCATGATGGCGTCACAAATGAGTCAGCAGTCACACTCATATCTTACATGAGGTCACATGGAGATAAATATCACTCAAATTATGATAAATGGTTAACAGAAGCTGGCTCTTTCACAAAGGGGCTGTGTGGTATTCGTTAAAAAGCTTCTGATTTAAGCTTACCATCCATGTAGCAAAGGAAAGAGTTTTCTGGCGACATGATTGTGCCACTGTGGCCTTTGTCACGCTGTAATTAAAGAAAGCTTCTCATGAGTCATGCTGACAGAAACAGAAACACACCACCCACCACCTCAGTACCCACCATAGCAGTCAACATCCTGCTAAAAACAAACACAAGTTGTTGGGTGGGGTTTATCATGTAGTAGTAATATTGTAATATAGAGGCTAACAGGCACACAGTTAACAGCTGAAACATATTAAAGCCAATGTCATTACAGCAGTTGTTCATTTTAATGTTAGAACATAAAATTTTATTGTAACTGTGGTTTATCGACAAAATATTTGCAACACTGAAACAGAAAAATGGGCTTGAATGAACTGAGCTGTACACACGTTACAGTCACATTATAGTGATACCATCCTATCAAATAATATAATCAGTAAAGTGAAAGTCACATGTTTGCATGACTGTACTGAAACACACGCAGCCCTCTGGCTAGCCATGCTCAGCGTGTGGAAGCTTTTCCATGATATCGAAGCAGAGATGTTCTTCCTCCCTATGGCAGAGAGTGAAGACAGAGACAGATGAGCTCTCTGGCTCGAGAGGCCACCTGGCTGCATCCATCCAAACAGATCAGAGCTCTACTCTCCTCTTTCTCTGCCCTCTGACCAAGCGTTGCCCGTTGAAACATTGAGCTGTAAGGTGAGAGGTCACACTAATAGCCCCACTCGATCTTCTTTCTCCTACACCATTTCTTCCATCTATGTCCATCACACACTCGTACACTTTATTCTCCTCTCTCTTTTCTCTCTTCCTCTCTCCTTCAGTGACATTTTGGCCTATTGATCCGACTGAAGGAGAGATCATTAGTTGATCCGTGCTGCCGCAGCTATCAGGTAGTGGATTGCAGCTGGTAATCATCCTAAGTACACACTGGTAAAAACCAAAGACTTATGCTCACCAGGGGACACTGGTGCCATTTTCTAAGGGTGCTTTCACACCTGTTGTTAGGTACATTTGGTCAGAGCATAGGTTTGGACCAAGAAAAGATATCTGCATTTTAATGCGTCTAAAGTGTATATTTATGCTCTGTAACTCAAAAGAACTGCAAACTCATTATGAGCATTATTAGTATTTTTAGACTGCAAATCGACC